GCCTCAAGCTAAGTGAAAGGGTGGAGGCTGGGCCTCCGGCCTGTACCACTCATGGGCAGGATGGGCCCTGGAGGATGAGGACTTGTCTTTGAAAAGGACAACGATCTTCCCTGTCTAAGACCCAGGGCACCCTCCTCCTTTCACTCAGGCTGTATTCCTCTTTCCCTTCTAGGGTCTCTTCTCTTTCTGGAGTTCCCAGGCACAGGGACCAAGCCAGAATCAAGAAATGCTCCCCGCACCCAGTGGAGTAATAACCTCCCCCTTGTAACCTGTTCACAAGTCCATCCAACCATCACCTGGCTTTCCCACCCTTTCCTTCATCCAAGGGACCACTCTTTTTCCTCTCCTTTGTCCTGCCTCCCCATCTCCTCCACCCCCACCATTCTCACAACCATCCCAGCACCCGGCTTCCTAATCTTAGGAGGCATCTCTTCTGATTGAACTAGAGAATTCCGGGATCTGGGCCATACTCCTTAGTGGACAGCCCATCTTCAGAGCAGGCACAGGAGAAACCCTGAGGAAGAACAAGGGCAGAGCACAAGGTCAGGCCAGGAGATCCCTGAGGACAGAGACCGTGGGGAGACAGGCACTGAGGAGAAAGCACCGGAGCTAGAGCCAGGACCAAGGCAAGAAAGAGAAGAGCCAGCAGAGTTATTTGTGGGGGAGGCTCAGCAGCTGTCTCTCCTAAGACGGGGACAGATGGGCCTGGTTATTTCTCTTGTCACATGTATAGTGGTAGGAACGGGAGAGGGCCATTGGGCAACCAAGGGCAGGCTTACAAACAGAGCTGTGTGGTTAGTTGTTCAGGTCCCTGTGCCCCTTGTAGAAGAAAGGCATCTGAGTCCAGTCAATCTGTCTGGTTTTCCTTCTTTTTCAGACAGGTTCTCATTATGTAGCCATGGCTGGCTGGAACATGCTAGGTAGACCAGGCTAGCCTCAAACTCACAGAGATCAGCCTACCTCTGCCTCCCCCGGGGCTGGGATTAAAGATGTGCTCTGGGCCCAGTGTTAACCAGACACACCCCATCATTCCCCAGCTCCCTCAAACTGTTCATACCTTCTTTCCTATAACATGATCACTCTCTAATATAGGCAACAGCTGAACCACCGGTGGGAAAAGGAAAATGCCAGGAAAGCTAAAGTGCTATTGGATTTCGATAGCAGTTGTAGTGTTCAGGAAAAAGAAATTTGTAGAGCCAGGAACTGAAACTCCATCAATCTAAAACAAGACTTCTCTTCCCCATGAATGAACGGATTCTGCCAGATTTCTCCTAGACTAACCCTCTCCAATCTCCCTCATCCAAATCCCAGGTTCTCTATCTCCTAGGACATGAGACAGCTCCCCCTGTGTAAATCCTCCCTGGAGTGTGGGTGGGTGAAGGAGCTGGGCTTCGTTCATGAACCATGGTCCAGGCAGGAGCTCCACTTCCAGTAGGTAGGAAAAGAACTCGTCATTTCCGGGGCCTTCACCAGAGCTTGGTGGCTCTCAGCTTTCTGATTGGGTGAAAGTGGCCTGGGCAGGCTTGTGACCCTTCTGCAGAGGAGGGGCTGTGCCCCAACGAGTGTCTTCCTACCTACCTGCTCCCCAGAGTGCTGCCTGCTGTGCACCTTGGTCCTGGAGCCCTTCTCCACCCGGTGAGTGACAAGCACAGTTTGGGGTTAAGTGAGGGTATGGTATGAAGAACAAAAAAGAACTGGGCTCTTAGCTGGGGGAGGGGCAGGCAAACTGGAACCTACAGGCACTGACCTTTGTCAAGAAGAGTGGAGCCTTCCCAGAATGGGAGGAGCGGGACAGAGCCGGGAAAGGGGGTTGGGTACTGGTTTATGAGGGACTATTCACAGACTTGGTAGAATTCAGATTAGTCCTGGCTGCCTTGGGGCCATGAGAAAATGAGAAAAGAAGCGCATGCAGGGCTAGAGAACTTTGCACTGAGGGATATAATCCTAATCCCCATTCTCATATGGTCATTCTTGTTAGCTTAAGGTTCTTTCTGAATCCTGGGGCTGAGAAAACTGGGTCAGGTGAGACAAGGCCCAAGAAGAGGGTAATGGGAGGAGGGTTGCGTATGTTGACAGACCTACCGGAGATCCCAATATTGAATCAGGTGCAGGCCTCTTTGCCCAACTTGTGAAGAGGAGGGTCCTAATGCCTCTTCACTCAACTTGTGAAAAATGGGGGGGGGGGGAACCCTTGAGATACATGTGAGGTAGGTGGTATTTTGCTCTCGGTGCCTCATCCCGGGCCACTTGCCTCAGGAAGGAAGTCCTAGTACTGTTAGCCCTTTGATTTGAGTAAGGGGGCATTTCAGAACTTGGAAATCCAAAGAAGAGCCCCGGGTTTTATTTGTGGGGCAAACAGGGAAAGAATGAGAAGCCGGTGTGATCCTTGTGCTGGTGCTCTGTTCTGTCTTTACCCAATCTCCTGCCTCAGACCCACTTCTAACACTATAGCTGTCCTTCCACACAGGTGCCCACCTGCCATTTCCTCTTCTTAATCTCCTCTTCTCCAGATTTGCACATCTCTTCCTTTCTCCATCCCATCCCACCTTCTCACCCACTTACAACAGCCTAGGTTGCTGGGAATTTGAACCCAATTAAGATATGTGTGTATATGCCGTGTCTTGCTACTCTCAGCAGGGCAACAATTGGTAGACAGGGCACCACGGCCACATCAGAGTCACTGAAGAGCCCTGACAAAGAGGAGACACTGTGTGCTTCGGTCACAACAAAACCATGGGAGCAGTTGGAGCACTAACAGCCTTGGCCCTGGCCGGCCAGAGGCCCAAGCCTGTTTCCCCAGGCCAAACGGTCTTTTCTTTGAAACCTACTAAAAGACTCACTATTTCTGCCATTTTCAGGATAGATTCCTTGGCCCACCTGTGCCCCACACCACTCTGTGCCCAAGTGCAAAAGCTCAAGCCGCCTCCATGGCCCCAGGAAAGATTCAGGGGAGAGGCCCCATACAGGGAGCCACTCCAGCCAGACACCCTGGCCAGAATGGAGCTGACTGGTAAGAAAACACTTGGGAAGCTAGGAACACGTTCAAGAATGGCTTGGCAGGGTAGGAGATGGGGACAATGCTACAGGAGCCGAAGGCTGGGAAACCCAGTCCCCCAAGAAAAGGGAGCTGATCCCTGGATTTCAGGTCTGGCTTCCAAATGGGGAATCCCTGAGTCACTACCTAAGAATAACTTTCTCTTTATCGACCCTTCAACTTTACTTCTCATCTAAGATTTGCTCCTGGTGGCCATGCTTCTCCTTACTGCAAGAATAACTCTGTCCAGCCCAGCTCCTCCTGCCTGTGACCCTCGACTCCTAAATAAGCTGCTTCGTGACTCCCATCTCCTTCACAGCCGACTGGTGAGCATCCCCAAGCACTATGCCTCTTATCCACTTAGCTCACTCTTTCACTTCCTCTCACTCCAGTGTTGTCTTTGGTCCACCATATCTCGGTCCCTCCCTGCCAAGGGCTGTGGTTTGCATTAGTGTCTCAGAAACTCTAGTATGGGCGGGGTACCAAAGGAAACCACCTCAGTCATGGACCACCACCCTGCTCTCTATTTCAGCTTCTCTTCTCTTCCTACCCATCTTTATTAACAGGGTCAGTGCCCTGACATCAACCCTTTGTCTACACCTGTCCTGCTGCCTGCTGTGGACTTTAGCCTGGGAGAATGGAAAGCCCAGACGGTAAGAGGCATCCAAGGACTGCTTACCTCACACATGCAAGGTGGAGGCCGAGGCAGGATGCTTGCCTTGAGTCTAAGGACAGCCTAGGATGTATTATAAGTACAGGCTAGGCTGGACTACAGAGTGAGGGCCCCCCATTTCAAAAAAAAAAAAAAAAAAGGGGGGGGGAAAAAAACCCCCAAAATCTCCATCTATCTGTCATCATCAGACCCTTACTGTTCCCTATAGTCTTTAAAAATCCACCCCCCCTTTTTTTAAAAATGTATAGAGGTGTTTTGCCTGCATGCTAGGAATTGAACCTGGGTCATCTGGAAAAGCAGCAAGTGCTCTTAACTACTGAGCCATTTCTCTAACCTCCTAAAATCTTACCTTCAACTTGGCTAGCTTAACCCGATTTACATTCACCTATGATGAGATCTTGAGGAAAGGCTGACAAATTCTGACCAACATATCAAATAGGCTGGGCATGGTGGTTCATGCCTTTAATCTCAGAACTCAGGAAGCAGTGACAAACAGATCTCTGTGAGTTCAAGGCCAGCCAGCAGGAGACTCTATCTCAAAGAGAGTGTGTGTGTGTGTGTGTGTGTGTGTGTGTGTGTGTGTGTGTGTGTGTAGCCCTGGCTGTACACGCCACACATTAAATAGATTTGAAAATGAATACCATAAAAAGATGGTTAGAAGCCTCTCATGGCTATACCTTTGATGTATTCTTATTCTTGTTCAGTCTTTTTTTTTTAAGTGTATTTATTTATAAATATGGGTGGAGGCATGCCATGGTGTACATATAGAGGTCAGGGGACAATTTGCAAGAGTTATTCTCTCCTTCTGCTATGTAAATCCCAGGGATTAAGTCAGGTCATCAAGCTTGGCCACAAGCACCTTTACCGTGACAGCCATCTTAGTCGGCATGAAGGAAGTCTGATCTGCTGCCCACAGCTGACAGAAAGTATAAAGTACCACTAAAATAAAGGCAAAATTAAGATTTAAACCCTTGTTGAGCATGATGACACAAACAAGAAATCCCAGCAGCTCAGAGGGTGGGGCAGAAAGATGAGCTGCAGGCTAGCCTAGGCTATACAGTGAGACCTTGTCTCAAGAAATAAAAGCAAATTGAGCCAGGTGGCACATGCCTGTCCTCCCCAGAGTCCCCTTCATTTTCAGGTCTCCTAGGGGTCCTGAGTCTGGAGAAGGGTTAGTACTATGGATCACAGTTCTAGCTCTGTGTTCGTAACAGGGTCTCACTATGTATTTCAGGCTTGTTGTCCTCCTGCCTCAGCCCCACAAGTGCTGGCATCACTTGCATGTGCCATCACACCCAGCTCTGCCATTTGTTAAGTCCCTTCCTGACATCTTCGTGGTTATCATGACAGTCTTGTTGCTGCATTTAGCTTAGAAATGCTGTGCTACAACAATTTTTATAACAGAGAAATAGGCTTGCAGCACTGCATCCTGGAGCTAAAAGCTACACTGAGGTGTGGGGTGGCTTTCTGACCCAAAGTCCATGCAAGACCAGGCTAGATTGATGGACACTGGTGTTACTGAAGCAGAGGCCAATGGCCAGTTGTTAGGAGACTGCGAAGGAATTCCTGTGATGGGTGGGACCCTCATCCTGTCCAATTCCCAGCTCCTATGATTCATTCCGCTGGCTACTCCTATGGGATCCCCACCCATTACTAGCACGTTTTTGAAGCAGTTCACTTCTTTCTCTCTCCTCTTTCTCAGGAACAGACCAAGGCACAGGACATTCTAGGGGCCGTGTCCCTTCTATTGGAGGGAGTGATGGCAGCACGAAGACAGTTGGAACCCTCCTGCCTCTCATCACTCCTGGGACAGCTTTCTGGGCAGGTCCGCCTCCTCTTGGGGGCCCTGCAGGGCCTCCTAGGAACCCAGGTAAGTCTGCAGTCAAAAGACATCTAGAAACTACCTTCTTACTCAGTCCCTGTATAGACCTGGGGGAGACGAGGGATTCTGGGTACCTTCAGTGTAGAAAGGCTGGTGTAAAAGGAGTGCTGTCTCCCAGCCATCACACCTGGCTGCTGGCAATGAACTTTTTCTCCTTAGTCAAGAGAGGCCTGGTACATGGCCTGCTCTCTGGCCTCAGGCCCATCCTCTGCCCTCAGCTTCCCCCACAGGGCAGGACCACAGCTCACAAGGATCCCAATGCCATCTTCTTGAGCTTGCAACAACTGCTGCGAGGAAAGGTGCGCTTCCTGCTGCTGGTAGAAGGTCCCACCCTCTGCGTCCGACGGGCCCTGCCCACCACAGATGTCCCAAGCAATACCTCCCAACTCCTCACACTAAACAAGCTCCAGAACAGGACTTCTGGATTGTTGGAGACGAACTTCAGTGTCTTAGCCAGAGCTCCTGGCCCTGGGCTTCTGAGCAGGCTTCAAGGACTCAGAACCAAGATTATCCCTGGTCAGCTGAATCAAACCACCAGGTTCCCAGATCAAATCCCTGGATTCCTGAACAGGACACATGGACCTCTGAATGGAACTCAAGGGCTCTTTGCTGCAGCCTCACTTCAGACCCTGGAAGGCCCAGACATTCTGCTAGGAGCTTTGAACAAAGGCTCCCTGCCACTCAACCTCCAAAGTGGACATTCTCCTTCTCCTGCCCATGCTCCTGATGGACACACACTCTTCCCTCCTTCACCTCCCTTGCCCACCCATCAGTCTCCACCCCAGTTCCATCTGTTTCCTGATCCCTCCACCTCTGTGCCTAACTCTACCAGCCCTCATCCAGTCGGAGTTTACTCTCATCCCCAGAATTTGTCTCAGGAAGCATAAGGTACACAGGCACAGCCGGCATCTGCAACGTCTCTCAGGCACAAGCCTTCCCCGGAAGAGGCTCTGAGAGGCAACTGCAGCTGCACTAGACTTCCTGCTTTCCCTGAAACCCAAAGCCCTGGGAAAGGGATACACAGGACCAGCTATCATAACGTTTTAGGAGCTATTTTTTTTAACCTATCAGCAATATTCATCAGAGCAGCTAGTTATCTTTGGTCTATTTTCTCTATAAATTTGAAAATCGCAAATTCTCTGTGTTTTCTACAAAGACCTAGACTAGCCTAGCCTTTGAAAAAAGGTAGGGATTAACATTGTATCAGAAAACAAAAGGGCAGTTTCCTTTGCTTCAAGTTTAAGCCCCTCAATGCCCTCATTCCCTTCACTGTAAATCTCAGTGACACTGGTTCTCAAGAGATACTGCTCTTAATAAAGCCATAGCGAGTTACCTCTTAGAAAGGCTGCCCCTACTTAGAGGCAAAACTGAGAATAAATAAGAGCATCCAAAAGCCAACTAAAAATCAGGGGAGCATGTTCTTCACTGGGACAACAGCCCTCCTGCACCCTACCTCCCCAGAATGCTAACAGGAAGCCTGGGGAACTCCACACCCCAGGTAAGGTTGTGCAGACATTTAGTAAAGACTAGACCTGGAAGTGGCAGCTGAGCAAACAGCAAAGCGCATCAGCGGCTCAGCAGGAGCTTAGCCAGGCCTGGGCTCCTGCTTCCCTCCTGTGGAGGTCAGGCGGAAGTGCAGGAAGTGGCAAGAGTTAGGCTCCAGACCTCACACAGCAGGACAAGCACTGGGCAGTGGCTCTTTCTGCTTTCCACAAATGCACCTAAAAAGCAGCCTTGTGTGGCCACCATGAACTCTACTGGGAACCCCCAAAATGAAGGCAAGACTCCTGGGGTTTTGCAAGCAAGTGCTTTGTTGGTGCTAGAAGTTTACGTTGCATAAAAACAAAAAGTGTACTGCCAGGGTTAACCTGCTACCACAGTCTGTGAGAAAGCTGCTGGAGGCTTCTTCCTCACTCCTGTCCCAGAGTAAAGGAGAAAAGGCCACCATGTGGGCAGCAAGAAGGCTCTCAGAGTTCTAAACACTGCCACAAAAAAAAGCAAAGGAAAGGTATTCTTCACAGAGGCAACAGGTGCCCCAGAGTCTCCCCCACAATTCTGTAGGGTGGGTATTATTATCCATCTGTCTTACACATGAACGAACACACCAAGGCCAGATGGGCTTGGTCACACAGCCTTCAGACAGAAAAATGACCCCCAGCCTGAGTGGCAGTCCACTCATCTAACCCAATGTGGTGCCCTGTCTGATATGTCCTTCAGTGAGCCTATGCAAAGCAGAGACGTCCACGTCCTTGGAGGCTAAATACACTCTTAAGAAGCTCTGAGGAGAAGACAAGTGCTTGTGGTGGGAGTCACAATTCAGACATCTCCTGGTGTCCCTGGGGGCAGAACCAGGAGTCCACAAATACATGAAGCTAAAAAATGGTATCAAAATCTCAAGGCACTGTCAGTTTCTACACAGGAGAGAGTTTCATCTACACGACTAATCCCAGGATCATTCAGTATAGTTTGTAGTTTGTTGTAACACTGAAGGAGGTTAAACTTAACATTTAAAAATAAATTTACGGCAAGTGAGATGGCTCAGTAGGTGAAAGTGCTTTATGTGCAAACCTGACATGAGTTTGATGCCCGGAACCCATGGGAAAGGAAAGAACCAACTCCCAAAAGTTGTCTTAAGACCTCATTATGCATGCCACCACATGCTGATGTCCACACTTGCACACACACATCTCACACACATCTCACACACACACACACACACACACAAATAAAACTGAAAAGGAAAAAAAAAGGTGGACATGATGGCACATGCTTGTAAACTCAAAACTTAGAAGGCAGAGACAGGAGGATCAGGAGTTCAAGGCCACCTTCCGCTATATAAGGAATCTGAGTCCACCCTGGACTACAAAAGACTGTACTGTATCTCAAAAATTAATTTGTATTACGGCAGGGACATAGCTCAGTGGCAGGGCTCTTGCCTAGCACACACAAAGTCCGGGGTTCAATCCTCAGCACAGTAAAAACAAAAACAAAAACAACAAAAGCCACAATCATCAAGCCAAACACTTTACAGCACAGAAGAGCTGGCACTCTGAACAAGATAAGCCAGCCAAAAATGTGGGTTCTCAGCTTCTCATCGGTCAGAAGACAGGTGAGGATACTGAGCTGCGACATAGCTAACGCTCCAGGCATCTGATACGTGCTAATCTGAGAAACTGGTTTCTACAATGTAAACCAATCTGAAATCTGCCCTCTTAAGACTGACCCTGGGGGGCTGGAGAGATGGCTCAGCGGTTAAGAGCATTGCCTGCTCTTCCAAAGGTCCTGAGTTCAATTCCCAGCAACCACATATTGGCTCACAACCATCTATAATGAGACTTGGTGCCGAACACTGTACACATAATAAATAAATCTTTAAAAAAAAAAAAAAAAAAAAAAAAAAAAGACTGACCCTGAAACTAGGTATGACGGTGCATGCTGATAATAGCAGCACTTTGTGGGGTTGAGGCAGGAGAATCACAAGTTCAAGGTCGTCCTTGGCTATATGACCAGCTGTTATTTCAGCTGTTATTTCAGGTGTTATTCCACCTTTAAAACTTTTAAACGTTGCCTGAAGAACCAGCTCAGTGACATGACACTTGCCTAGTAAGCCTTGGGTTTGATCCTGCACCATCAAAACCAAAGCGAAAAGTCTAAACCAAATTGATTCTGTGCAGCTGATTCTATCACTTCTTCCCCTACATACACACAAAAACAGGATTATGATAGCAAGATGGCTCAGCCACTGAAGGTGACTCACACGGCAGCAAAAAGGGACTTCTCAAAGTTATCTTCCCCCTCACACACAAATAAATGTTGAAAGCTTTTCTACTTAAGTCCCCCTTTCCTATGCTGGAACAGCCTACTGTCTACTTGACATTCTATCACTTATTTCTAATGAGGGTCTCCCCCTCCAAAACCTGACTCCATGGGATGATTAAAAGATTCTATTAAGATTCATCCCAACCCCCAATATGTCACACACACCCTACTGTGGAAAGAAAAAAGAAAAAACCTTTGCTCTTCCCCGCTGAGGCCACTCATTTTCAACCCATTTCCCTAAACACTACACCATTTCTAACACCTCTTGTAAAGACTAAAAAAAAAAAAAAAAAAAAAAAAAAAAAGGGGAAAGACGGGAAAGGAAACACCCCAGGCATCCCAGCAGGGCCACCAGCTCCTGTGAGAAACCCAGGGCATCAAGAGACCAACTGGGGGTCAGCAAAAAAAAAGGCTTAGTGAGTAAAGGAGTTTGTCCTGAGAACCTCAGTTCAACCCCCAGGACACAGATGGTGGAAACACACACACACACACACACACACACACACACACACACACAGGGGGGGGAAGATACCTCCTTTGTTGCACACAAAAGAGCCTTGGTTTTGACTCCCAGCATTGCATAAGCCAGGTGTGAGCAATCCCAGAAACTCAGAAGACAGTGGCAGGAGGATCAAGTCCAAGTCCAGCCTAGGCTAGACAGCAAAAGTAAACCCTGGATGACCCCACCCCCAATTCAAGAGAAGAGTCTGAAAAAGTAAGCTTTAATTTAAAAAAAAAAAAAATCATACACAACTTGAGATTCATGCTGCGCTCTCCCGCTGCACCTTCTACAGACAAGTCACTTTTCCACTGAATTCAGACAAACTGAAGCTGTATCCAGAGTGGACACAGAGCCAGTTCCTTTCACAGGTCAGCAACGCCAGCTTCTACTCAGGTTCGAACAGTGTCCATGACTTGAATGACTAAGCAGCAGGGCTGGTTTCCCACGAGGTTCAGAAGGCCAGTTTCTTCATCAGCAGATACACCCTGGAATCCACCTCAAATCCATGCAAGTTGTTGGCATCACCCTGAAGCCTCATGAGCAGGCCCCCATAGGACACATAGGCAGAGCTGAAACAGAAGGTCCCTGGTCCTGAGTCTGAGCTCTCAAGCAGCTGCTTCCCAGCAGCTCTCCGTCCATTTTTTTAAAGGCACTCCCCTAGCATTCTGTCATTAGGAACCAAAGACTGGGACAAACCTGAATGCAGATATGCACAAAGCAGTGTTGTTTACTCTAGTGGAGGAGTAAACGCTGCTGCTATGCCCAAAATAGGAGAGTAGTCACACAAATGAAGGTGTCACCATTCATTACAATGTTGTTCACACAAATGAAGGTGTCACCATTCATTGCAATATTATACAGCTATTGGATACTGAGGTAGGGGCTGGAGAGAAGAATGCAGACCTGGATTCACCACCCCCAAGCACCCACATGGCACCTTACAACCACCTGTAACCCCATTTTCAAGGTGTTCAATGTCCCCCTTCTGACCTTGGTGGTCTCATACCTGCACATGGTACACATATAAGCACCCACGTGCATGCATACACACAAATAAAAAAATACTTTTTTGAAAATGCTAAGGAATCAGGAGGGTGGCACATGTCTTTAATCCCAGCATCAGGAGGCAGTCAAGTAGCTCCCGAGTTCAACACCAGCCTGGGTCTACATAGTGAGTTCCAAGACAGCCCAGGCTACATAGAGAGACCCTATCTCAAAATAAAATAAAATAAAATAAAATTGAGGGGAATTTTCACCTGACAAGGGAAGTATGTTAGACAAAAAAAAAAAAGAAAACATTATAAAGGATCTTAAAGGGAAAAGTAAACAAAAGAAAAGAAAAAAGACAGCTAGACCACTCCAACGCTTGTTTTTGTTTTCTCAAAACAGGGTCTCACTATCTCTGGCTGTCCTAGAACTTACTCTGTAAACCAGCTGACCTTGAACTCACAGAGATCTACCTGCCTCTACTTCCCAGGTGCTGGGATTAAAGGTGTGCACCACACCAGCTATTTAAATTGTAAAAAACGTCCTCCTAGGTGACTTTTGTTCTTTTTCACATTAATTTTCTGCTTCAAGATTCTAACAACCATATTGTTTTAAAATCAATTTTGTTTTGGTTTTTCAAGACAGGGTTTCTCTGTGGCTTTGGAGCCTGTCCTGGAACTAGTCTCTGCCTCCCGAGTGCTGGGATTAAAGGCGTGTGCCACCACTGCCCGGCATTTAAAACCAATTTTAAAGAAAAAGAAAAATTAGGCAGGGAAACTAAAGAACCAAGGTCTGGGTTACAGAGTAGCAACACATACACAAGTAAAAAATAAAAAGGCCTAGTCATGAAATGCTGCTTGTGATCCCCCAAGATGTTCTCTGTTGTCCCTCATGAAGCAAGATTACCAAAGTCTCCTGTGGGCCACAGGGCCTTGAAATCCTGATAGCAGGTGATGTAAGTAATCAAAATTCAGACTAGAAACTGTTCCCAAAACAAATTCTTCCACCCCGGCTTCGGGTACTAGAAAAAACAAAGAACCTGATACAGAAGGAGAAGCATGACCCAATTTCACAACAGGGAGGTTGGATTATTAACAGCCAGACAATGTTACTTACAGACGTGTCGCCGCTTCGGTTGAGGTCTCATCCCCCTCAATCCTGTATACTTTCCCATACATGACATACTCAAACTGGTCCGCCCTACAAACAATAGGCAAAGTTACTTTTCACAGCAATCAATAGTGTAAGAGACATTTAAAAATGGAAACTGAGCCAGGCATGGTGGCACAATCCCAGCACTCAGGAATCAGAGGCAGAGGCAGAGACAGAGGCCTGTGAGTTTTCGGCCAGCCTGACAGTCTACAGAGTAAGTTCCAGGATAGTCACGGCCACACAAAGAAACCTTGTCTCGAAAAACCAAAAAGATAGAAATAATTAAAATAGAAACTGATAACAACAAATGCCATGGAAGCGCAACCTTATTTGGCTTTCACATCAATTCAGTGAACTAGAAATGACTGTCTGTACTTTATTGATAAGGAAATGGAAGATGGAAGTAGTGGAGCTGAGAAGTAAAAGTTCAGTATATAGTCATGGCTGTCCTAACTGGCTATGTAGACCAGGCTAGCCTCAAACTCACAGAGGTCTCCTGCCTCTGCCTCCTAAATGCTGGGATTAAGTGTGTGTACCACCAGACCCAATACTCCACAGTCTTTCTGTCACACCAAAATCTAGGTTACTATGTAATCATTTTCTAGGCCTTAAAAAAGCTACATTTGCAGGGTGTGGTGGTACATACCTTTAATTCCAACACTGAGGAGGCAGAGGAGGTGGATGTCATCTGTGAGTTTGAGACCAGCTTGGTCTACATAGTCCAGGCCAACCAGGACTACAAAGTGAGACCCTGTCTCAAATAAATAAACAACTGCAGTTCACAAGCTTCCACTCACTGCTCTCACTAAGTAATCAAGCCAGTTGTTTGAAATTTTTTTCAAATTTTTTAGAGACAGGGTCTCCAGCCCAGGTTGGTCTCAGATTTGATGTGAAGCCAATGGTGTTCTTGAACTCCTCATCCTCCTGCCTCATCTCCCGAGTTCTGGAATTACAGACACAAACCATCACACCCAGTTCTGGTTGTGTGAATTCTAAGTGCAGTAATGTCTTTTTCTAGCAGTAAAATAAAGACCATTCTATGTACTACTTATCTATTTAGTCCCTCCTTTACCACCGCCTCACCTGGAAGGCCTGTCATCTGTGGGGTTGTATTCACCATCATCCAAGGTACCATCTTCATACAAAGTACTAGCTATGACCAATCGGAACTTGTCACCTGAAAAGAGCATCAAGCGGAAACCAAAGATAAAAATCACTTGCTAAAGCCAGTCGTTGGCAGCACATGCTTTTAATCCCAGTACTCAGGAGGCAGAGGCAAGCGGATCTCTGTGAGTTCGAGACCAGCCTGTTCTACAAGAGCTAGTTCCAGGACAGCCTCCAAAGCCATAGAGAAAACCTGTCTCGAAAAACAAACAAACAAACAAAAAAATTCACTTGCTAGCTCCTGTGTTGGACACTTACCCAAGTCCACTGGGTAAATCTGAATGTTCACGTCTAAGATGAGGTCCATCTTGAAAGATTCACTCTCACAGTGCAGCCGAGATACTGGGAAAGAGCGACAGACATAATTACAGGCAACAGAGTCGGGGTCGAATGCAGGAGAACAAATCTTTCAACTAGTCCACAGCCATTAGCCTTGCTCTGGGACACAGACACAGAGTGCAATCCAAATCAGATTCAGAGAAGAAAGGGAGTAAACACCTCAGCAAGTGTCAGGATCCCAAGAAAGAAGCAGAACTTCTCTGGCAGCAACCCGTCTCTAGGCTCTAAGCACACCTGGATGATTTAGACTAAACTCAACTCTGAACAAGATAGTCATTAGTCCAGAGATCCCCACTTCCTAGTAGGCACTCTGCGGAGGGAATAGGCAGGGTGTATTGAGAACTGACACCTGTCTTTAAAAATGGGGGGGGGCACGCCTTTAATCCCAGCACTTGGGAGGCAGAGGCAGGTGGATCTCTGAGTTCAAGGCCAGTCTGGTCTACAAAGCAAGTTCCAAGACAGCCAGAGCTACAAAGAGAATCTGTATTGGGGGGGGGGGTCTGTCTCCAGGTAAAGTGACACTGAGAAGAAACAACTTCCGGATTACTGGGAAATGAATACACCAAGCAGTCAGCTGCATGAAATTTATAGAGGACTCGGCAAAGGGCTAACAATTCTTGGGGCAATACAAAACTATGGGTTAGGAAGACAGGGAGGTAACTCGCTGCACGGCCTTAAGTAACAAAATAGATCGGGCACCATCACTTCTTACTACAATACTTAAGTGTGCGAGAGAGGCGCACGGTACATACAGCACGTAATACTGAATAAGGAGTCAGAAAGGTGTCCAGGGCTTTCCCAACCCCAAAGCCAAGGGCCACCGAGGCACCAGACACCGCAAACATCATAGGAAAAGCTGTCCCAAGTTTCTCATTATGAAAAACACTGTTTCCTGAGGGAGGTACCGAGAGGGTGGGACGGGCCACTTGGGGTGGGTGGGCATGTTTGGCCTCTTCCTCACCTCCCCTACACACCTTACCTCGGTCAAATTTCTTGCCTTCTGGGTCAATGTCTTTCACATCAAAAATATCCTCGAACAGGATGCCCGCCATCGTAAGGGGCACGAGAACTGCAGAGGTGCGGAGCGCGCGGCCACCACTGGGAATTCGCGCACCCCCTCACGTGGAGAAAAGAAGACAGGGCAGAGTACCGCCCCAAAAAGCGGCAACCAGCCGCAGGGCGCATGCGCACGGGCTTCAGCAACGCAGCCACTTTCGCTGCCTCCCCTCGGGGCTCCTTCACTTCCGCCGGGAAAGGCCACCTCGGAGTGGCTCGGACCTTGTGGGCGAGTCTCAAAGCGCGGTGACTCCGCCCAAGGCGGGGACAGACTAAGTCCCACCCCCGGCGGGTACCGCGATGCGCCCGGCTCTAGGGCGCCCTCTTCAGACCCCGGATCCCGATGCTTGGAAGGCTCCGGGACCGGACCCAGCCAGGAACCTTGATCCTTGGCCCAGAGGGAGCCCGGCCCTAGCCCTTCCCTGCGGTCCGCGTGCCCGCCGAGGGCACAGTCCGTGCTGCAGGAGGGTGAAGCCGAACTCCACCCGCAGAGGACGCAGTGCCCAGCCCCTCGGACGGCCACCAAGGTTCCCCACGCTGGTCCGAGCTGGCTCTGACCAGCTAGACGTCACCCGAGCCGGGTCCGTCCGGTTTGGGAATTTGCCGTGATGTCACTGTCAGGGAAAGGAAAGCCCGCATTGTGCCCTCGCCTGGGGCTTCACCTCCTCGCCACGCCGGTCTTCCCTTGGCCCTGCTTGGCACTAACTCTGATCCCCTAGAACACTGCCAATTGAACTTGGTACTGCCTGTCACCCCACTACACTACCCTCTTCTGGACACTGATCCAGTGCGCTTCCACCCGACACTGGCCTTTCCCTGGGAAACGACAGCTCGCAGCGCGCTCTTTCCAGGTGCTATCTCCTTTCATCGCAGCCCCCGTACTGGGCACCGTACGCTCCCCTTGAGCACCACCCTCTGTTTGCTGAATGAGTCTTCATCCTGATGCTGTTCTTTCTACACGGATTTCTGGGCACCGTCCTCTCCAGTGGCACCAACCTAACGCTGTCCATCCTCTTTGTGCCAACGCCACACTGTTCTTATCCTTCCAAGGATCCCGAAAGACAACGTAGAGCTTCACTGGGCCGCTTCCTCGAGGCGTCAGCAGCTACTCAAGTTCCCCCTTTAAGCGATGCCTGGGAGGAGCGACCTCTGCTCCCCCACGCCCGCCTCCCAGGAGCAGCCTCCCCCGCACCAATAGCTCCCTTCCCTCGGGCCTCACCCCTTCCCGTCCCCTCCCACCTCCACCTCCGCCCCGATCTCCAGGCCTAGCAGTTCCAGGTGCACCTTCCCGGGGGAACCCGGAGGAAAAGAAGAAAGGAGGAAGGGAGGCGATAAGGGAGCGGGCTCTCAGGAATCCTCCCAGACCCGTCTGAGCCGCCAGCAAACGCGAAGCAGAGGCTGCCCCAGTCGAGTCTGGCCTGGAGAGCCCGAGATAGCTCGTCAGCAGCCCCCTGCCCCAGCCCTGGAGTCACTACATCCTCAGCCCCTCCCGCACAACGCTGCAGCCGCCCGAGAGCCCGTCCCCTCCACGTGCCAGCGGACCCGCCCCCGTCCGGCCCCGCACCCTCTCGGGGCCGGGTCAGCCCCCGGCCTCCCCAGAGAAGGGGTGCAAGATCGCGTTGCAAGCGCCCCCTGCCGCTTCTCCGGAGGCCAGGAGGCGGCTCCAATGCAGACCCCAGCCCGACCGGACGCCCCTGCAGATGGGCCAGGGCGGAGCAGCAAGCAGGGCACCGCCCTCGGCCCGCCCGCCAAGGAGGGGACGCTAGCGAGAGGCTGAGCCTGCGGCGCGCGCCCGGGGACCGTCGCACTCTGCACTCGGCCGCCGGGGCTGAGGGGACGGGACGGGTGCGGGCGCGGGCTCAGCGGGCCGGGAGCTGAGTCAAGGCCAGAGCCCGAGAAGCCAAGGGAGGCAAGAGGACAGTGCACCGAGATGGCGGCCGCCACGGCCGCGGCGGCGGCGGCGGCGGCGGGGGAAGGGATGGAGCCTCGGGCGCTGCAGTATGAGCAGACCCTGGTAAGTGAAACCTAAGGGGTGCGCTATGGCACCACTGCTGCAGGTTGCCCTAGGAAGTGTGAGCACAGGCGGCCTACCCAAGCCCGGCCTCAGCCTTCCTCAGCTGTGGAAACTGAGGTTCGGGATCCGACAGGCTATAGGTTCAGGGTGTTTGAAAGCTGCTTGCTGGTTTCTGGCTGAGACTGGTGGCCTGGAGAGGACAATGACACCAGGTGTTTGGCCCAGGTGTCCTTCCCCTTACTCCCTTCGGCTGACACGATTTTGTTTTTTCCACTTACCAAGTTACAGCACCCCAGTACCCTTTCTCGATACCTGTGAACTTTCTCCAAATGCCTATCCACATTCTACACCTTCCCTGTGTCCCTACTATGCCACAGCATTAAGCTGGACATAAAGACTGCAGGGAAGTAATCAAATCCAAACCTACCCCCTGCCTTTAAAGACTCAAAGTCCAGCATTGACAAGAACCCCTCAGTCGAACTTTTGGGAAAGGTGGCTGGCTTAGGTGGCTTGTCACCCTGGGGACCGAAGCTTGAGGGTTGATGCAGGAAGCAGGAATGGGTGTGAGAATTGGAACCTTTGTTCTAGCTGGATCTAGGCAGGTACCCCACCACCACTACCACCCACGCCCATGGAGTGTCCCTTGACCTCATCAGAAGCAGGGGTCCTGAGCTTTGAGATGACTCATAGCAAGTCAAGAGTTAAGAAGCCATTCACCCTCATGTCACTAGGGTGGGGGGCCCAAGCCCTACAGAAAGAAACTGGCCCTATGGCTCCGTTTTATCAGCTCGGGCTGGAATTTGCCCTGGAGGGTGTCAGGGAGGAACCTCCTTGAGAGAGGGCCTGGATTGTAACTGAGTCAGGGAGGTGCCCAATTACCAGAGACTGTATGAAACTGGATGACTGGGAGAGGTGGTAGGTGTGAGTGACGCTAGTGCCGGCAAGCCCTTTTGTTGGCAATGGCTGTTATCCTTGCCATGCACAGGTCAAGGAGAGGGGCATTTGGCCATGGAAGCCAGGCACCTAAACTCTGAAATGGTATCTCTTTTGCACCAGCCGCCACTCCATCTCCCTGTGTCTATGAAATGAGCTCTCAGGGTCAAGCTCTCCCTGCTCTGGCCTCTCCCACTTCCCCTCCTACCCTTTTGTCTGGCCCTCACCTCCTCCCACCTGCTGTGTTTCCACACTCTGGTCTCTTCCTCCTCCCTGCTCTCGGGTCTTTCTCCCTCTTTCCTATATAGTTCCGTTCCCTCTGCTTCTCCCTTTCCTCTGTGTCTCACCCGAGCTCTGTCTATCCCCCCCCACACACACACACACACAAACCCCAACCCCAACAGGAGCCCTTTGTGTCTTGAAGCTCCGCGGGTGGCAGCCAGAATCTACTCCTCCCCACCCCCCAACACACGCCCAGCTTGGCAGGTCCAGCCATAACTCTCTTCCCATCAGCCTTGTACCACAGTCACAGCCTTGCCATCTGCAACCTCTGCTGTCCCCAAGACCTGTCACTGGCCCCAAGTGCAGTTCCAGAGGGACTGAAATCACCCAACACTGCCTTACCCACCCAAAGAGGCTTTCCACTTTGAGCTGGGCTGCCGGGCTAATGGGGGTTTGGGAGTGGAGAATGAGGACAAGGGGATTAGGGTGGGTGGGAAGGGTGCCACTGAGTTGGTCACAGGCCAAAGGCCCAGTAGGAACGTGATAAGGATTGGGGCTGGGACCTCCTAGGCCCAGCTCAGCTGCTCTCAGCTCCACCAGCCTCTTATTGTTGCTCATACGCCCTTGACCATCCCTTAGTCTCTGACCTTCCTGCCTCCCACTTTCAGACTGTGCCTTAGGTTTTTCCATCTTTTCCCTCCTCTGGACCCTTCCCTCTCCTCCCCAGTGCCCTCACTCCTGGCTCGCCAGAAGAGGACTGATTATTCTGCCACCCCCAGAGTTGTGTCCCTGTACCTTGTCTGTCCCCATCACTCTGGCCAGGACAGCCCCCGCAGTCTGCAATGTGCATTGTTCCCACACTCTGAGCCTAGTGAGAACTGGATTCAAGATGGGGTACACAGTGTGGGAGCTGAGCAAAGCAGGGTCAGAACCCAGGAACCCTCCCTGCATTCCCCACCTCAGGCACACATGCTAATGCCATGTTTTATCTGTGGTTCCAGATGTATGGCCGGTACACCCAGGAACTTGGGGCCTTCGCCAAAGAGGAAGCTGCTCGGATTCGCCTGGGAGGGCCTGAGCCCTGGAAGGGGTCCCCTTCTGCCCGAGCTCCCCCAGAGCTCCTGGAGTATGGACAAAGCCGATGTGCCAGATGCCGCAGTGAGACCTGGATTGGGGCAGGGACCTGACTGTTCTATACTGGGGGAGGCAGAGACCATTAGAGCTGCCCATGGGGGATGGGGAGAGACGGATGAGTAAGAGCACTTTGGTACCAGCTTCTCTATGGATCTTCCCTTCCCTGCCTCCAGTTTGTTCTGTACGCTGCCACAAGTTCCTAGTGTCCAGGGTTGGTGAAGACTGGATCTTCCTGGTCCTGTTGGGGCTCCTCATGGCATTGGTCAGTTGGGCCATGGACTATGCCATCGCTGTCTGTCTACAGGGTGAGGGCAAAGGCTGGGAAGGGCCAACCTGTTTCCTCCATGCCACAGTTGTTTAAGTCACTTGGCTACTGGCCACTTTGTCTGGCCAGGCTGACTGCCCATCTCCAGGCATAGTTACTGCCGCTTGCTCAGGCCACACCTTCTTGCCTGCCCTCCATCTGCCTTATCTATGATGGGCTTTGTCCCAGTGAAAGGCCTTATAGGGCCTTTCAGTCTCTCTGTGCCCCGGCTCTGTACACTTGTCATATCAGTGTGTCCCAGTGGCAGGCAAGGTGTGGATATGTACACCAGAAGTCCAGCAAGCATGTCGTGTGCCCACAGCTCAGCAATGGATGTCCCGGGGCTTAAACACCAACATCTTACTCCAGTACCTGGCTTGGGTTACCTACCCTGTCGTCCTCATCACTTTCTCTGCTGGATTCACCCAGATCCTGGCCCCACAGGCTGTCGGTAGGATAGGAGGGATTGAGGGAGGCTCAAGCTTCCTGAATGAAAGTGTCAGACGACTTACCTGGGTATGTACCTCTGCAGGATCTGGCATCCCTGAGATGAAAACCATCCTTCGGGGAGTGGTGCTAAAAGAATACCTCACCCTCAAGACCTTTGTAGCTAAGGTCATTGGGCTAACTTGTGCCCTAGGCAGTGGGATGCCCCTTGGCAAAGAGGTAATTGCAGGTTGGGGAATGAAGGAGCCCCTCCCATTGGAAGAAAAGGCCAGGCAAGGTCTGGAAGGCCCTGTCCCTACTCACAACCAACCCCTACCACCAGGGACCCTTTGTA